GAAATAAAAATGAGAAATAAGAGCAACCGAGTGCTCTAGATTCTAGAAGTCCACTAAGGTAAATACGGTAATTTTAGTAATTATTGTTAACTCCAACCGTGATTTATTCCGGTCACGAAGAACCTATAAGTTCTTCGTTTTCGTTCCAGTTTTCCGCTACACAAAGAATCTAATTTCTTGTGACTTTCATTTCATATAGATTTACATGCTTCTACAACGACAAATATGATCATAGTCAAATTATGGTAAGTATACAAGCAGATAAATAAGATCGAGTGAAAAAGAAATTAAACTGTCAATATATATAACTTAGTTAAATTCAATACGTATATGACGTGCCCTTTGTCTTCAGTCCCTCCCCCGGTTTAAAATATCATGGTATAGCCAGTTTTCACACTGGTCAATGAAAAATAGCCAGCGTTTATCAAGTCAATGAAAAATAGCCACTATTTTGCTGCAACAGGGACTGGTCCAGTATAATAGTACGGGTAGTTCGTGGTTTTGTGTACGAACTCCAGCATATTATGCTGGACCGGTATACTTTGCTAACTCCTGTAAAATTTGCGGGAGACTGGAGCACCAGTGCTCCAAACTCCAGTATATTATACTGGACAATTATACTTGCTGGAACTCCCGTAAAATTTGCGGGAGTTCCAGCATAATTATGCTTGAACTCCCGTAAAATTTGCGTATTGTCCAGCATAGTTATCCTGGAACTCCCGTAAAATTTACTGGAGTTCAAGCATACTTATGCTGGAACTCCCGTAAAATTTGCGGGCGTATTTTTCCGGATTTTGAACAGTGTTTTCGCTCAGATTTAAAGTGGCTAAATTTCGATTACTTTTGAAACTTGGCTATTTTTCAACGACCAGTAGTAAATCTGGCTATTTTTGAATTTCTCCCCGGCTTAAAGGGTGGTCAATTGCACGGTATATAAATATCTAGTTTTAGAGGTACAGTCAGACCTCTCCACAACAGTCTCGTTTGTTCCGAATATTTTTGGATGTTATAGCGAAGTGTTGTTATAGAGAATATATATTAGAACATAACATAAAAATTGGTTCTGGAAAAGTTTGGTTTTTATAGTGAAATGTTATTATACAGAGATCCTGTTATAGAGAGGTCTGAATGTAACATATATTGAATACTCCCTCCGGTCCAAAATAAGTGATTTTTTGGCCTTTTTTTGTGGTCCAAAATAAGTGATTTTTCCAGATTTCAAGAACGAATTAATTATTTTTTTTCCTACATTGCCCTTGCAGTAAATAGTGTCGGAGTATGTGTTAGGAGTATTTATGTGAAGAGATAGTAAAGTTTAATATGGTCAATTTCATTGCTAATTAATGTTAAAAGGTGAATTTCTTAATCTGTGTGAAAACAGCTAAAAAATCACTTATTTTGGACCGGAGGGAGTAGTGAATACCCTTTGTCGGCAAATACTTTTTACTTTGTTCAAGTTTGAACACCCTTAGAAAAATTCTTGGTTTCGTCACTGCCTCTCCAAACCACCTACCCCATGCCCCACTTCCTATTCTTAATTTAGAACTAAAAGTTTGAAGTGAGGAAGCTTGTCTGGTCTTAGTTAGACTTTGGCAATGAAAGAGAAAAGTTACATTGCCCTTCAAAAGTGTACACATAATGGTTGCTTTTATGGCATTAATTAAACCCTAAAAAGACATTTAGTGCCAACTTTAATTTCATTTTTCTCTTCTAATTCCTCTTCTCTTCCACCCTTTTCCAATAGTAATCATTTCTAGATCATGTCCAGATATCGCTCTATAAACAGCCGTAATAAATTATTTATAATTGATAATTGATGGCTGGCCTTTAGTATCAAAAAAATTGTTAGTTCAATCATTGGTCACAGGAAGCCAAGCACAATTATTAATGCTAATAAAGACAGTAATATTCTATCTATAAGCTGTAATGGTGACTTGGTGATATATGGATTCTTTATTTGGCCTCGTAATGTTATGTATATTAGCAATTTTAGTGGCGGATATTTATTCAGCTAACAATATTGATAAATTTATTATCAGATATGCGAATAAAATTCTATATTTGTTGCTAAAAAAATTAAAAAGATATATATATATATATATATATATATATATATATATATATATATATATATATATATAATGTGTTAAGATATTTATAATGGTGTGTGTTTTTTTAAAAAAATTGTGCGGACTTAACCCAAAGCAGATAACATCACATTATATTAAAAATATTTTGGACTAATTGAACCCAAAATTTATCTATGAATTTTCTATCCCAAGCTAAAACTTTTGGTGAAACCATATCTTTGACTTTGACTTTGAGTCACATGGTTATCTAAGTATGAATTTTAAAAATTAATATACGAAAATTTAAGTACATTTATGCTCTTAACAATATTGATAAACGGCATGAACTTGCTTTTCAAGAACTTTGATTAAGTCTGAACATGAAAAAGCATTCAACATAATTGTATTAGAATAAAACTAGTTGCAAGACAATTTACTCTCTTTATAAGAGGATAAGTAGGTTGCGCATTCTCCCTGTTATACTTCACATATTAAATTTCTTACATTATCGATTAACCTAAAAGACAATTACAGATAACCGTTTCTAAAGTGTGTGATTAGTTACTTGAAAAATACATGTTATCTGCTACTTATAACAAGTTTAAATATACTATTGGGGTCGTTTGGTTTGAATACGCCTTATGCCGGGATAAGTTATGCTGGGATTAGTTATCCTGGTATTGTTTTTATTCACTGTTTGGTATGTAGTATTGATAATTGCATAATTTCTAAGAAAAGGTATAAGTTATCCCGGCACTAATTACCCCATCCTCTACAAGGTAAAAGTTATCCCGATACTAATTTTAATCCCGAGATAACTTATAGTACTAGGTTTTCTAACCAAACAAAATATTAAGATGGTATTAAATTTTTATACCAGCACTATACCTTCTTATACCTCGTACTAAACGACCCCTTTAGGGGTCGTTTGGTTGGAATATGATTTATACCGGTATAAGTTATGCCGGTATAAGTTATATTGGGATAAGTTATGCTGGGATTAGTTATGCTGGGATAGTTGTTTATTCATTGTTTGGTATGTTGTATTAAGAATGACAATTGCATAATTTATAAGAAGAAGGTATAAGTTATACCGGTGCTAATTACCCCACCTTCTATAAGGTATAAGTTATCCCAGTATTAAAATTAACAACGGAATAACTTATACCTGATTTGCTAACCAAACAGAGTATTAAGGTGGTATTAAACTTGTATACCACCATTATACCTTCTTATACCTCATACCAAACGACCCCTAAGTATAAAAGAAGATCTCAAAAAAATTATTGGGTTTTCCATGAATAGATAATGGGATGTTACTTTGTGTTTGTTGAATCGCATATTGTCATTTAGTATCATTCATGCCATAATGGGAACAAAGCTCGAGGTCATATTTGGTGTTCAAATTAAATGGACAAGAACTCCACTATAGTTGAGGACTCCACTAACTACCATGCTTCTAAAGTCCAAGTCTTTTTCCTGCCTCAAAGCTTGGACGGCGATTAACTAGGACGATTTTATATTACTATTAATAATATGATTCTGTGATTAATGTGAAAGCATTAAAATATTTAAAAGATAGAGGATTAATGTGGAGATACTTTTGAAGAGACTTCGCGCACCATAATGTCAAAAATACCGATCATCCATCCAGTAGTGTTGTAATCCGTGCCGGAGACACGATTTCTGCTAAGGGGTTCAAAAAAGAAAAAAGTTAAAAAATAAAAAGAAATTATTGCTAGCTAGTAGGAATTGTACCAGTTAACTCACAAAGGTTTTGAACCATTTTGATCACTGAGCTATGCTTTTGGGCTATGTTAAAGAGGATTCAAAACTTAATATATAGATGTAAAAATAGATTTTGTTTTATATATACAGTGTAATTTTTCGACAAAGGGGGTTCGGGGGAACCCCTCCCCCCTCTAAATCCGCCCCTGGTTGTGATATCGTCAGAATCTCTACCCTAAATCAGAATCTCGTATTTAAGTCCTTTGGTTTGATTAATGATTTTCATATACCTATTTAATACCAAGGAATGTGATTGAATAGTTAGGATTATTCCATCCTTATCAGAAGTTTCGGGTTCAAGCTTAAGAATGAAAAAATTCTTAGATAAGAATGAGACTCATGGAAAAAGATTTTATACTGATACAATATCTAATTTAAATCTAACTCTTTTGGGAAAATAGGAGTAAGAAAGAGCTACTTATATTTCTTGACGTGCATGAACTTGTATATCTTTCGCTTTCGTTTTTGTCTCTTTTTGCATGGAATACATAAATCGACCACTACTTGTTCCTTTTTACTTTACCTTTTATTCAAAGTTGAAAGGATCAATTCAATCTCGTTTTTTATATTACCAAACACAAAATCAATCTTATGTATTTACATTATTTTCCTCAATAATTTTTAAGAGTTCACGAACAGTATCTGTAGGTGATACACGTGATAACTCAATTTTTTTAGTATTTGTTATAGGAAAGATAACCTCTTCCGAAGAGGAAAAAGATAGAAAAAGGAATAAGGAGAGTACAAAAGGTACGATAACTGATTCACTCAACTAAGATACTTCCTCCGTTTCAATGTATATGGTGTAGTTTGACTGGACAAGTAATTTTAGCCTTAGTCTTAGTACGTGGACTCCGACCTATGGTTTTTTGATGATTTCGATCAGACAGAAGCTGAGAGTGGTGCTCTAGCTATAGGACTTTTATAATTTGTGATTTTGAACATATTATAACATTTTTGCGACTATATAAAACTTGTCATTTAATATAAAATGAAAAATTCAAATTATTTATTTTTTAACTTTATAATAGTGTCATTCATTTGTTTAACGGACTAATAAGAAAATAATATTTTTTTCTTTGAACAACGGAAGTACAACATAAAATATGAAAGAAGAAAGAAGATATAACTCAGAAGTGTATGGAAGGTAAAAATTCAGCAGTCTATTAAAGAGATCAAAGAGGTGTTAATATACATTTAGTTCTTCATTAAACTCTTCATCTAAATATCAAAGGGATCTTAAATAAAATTAAAAAAAAAAAACAAAAAAAGTACCAAAAAGTAGTCCTAGCTAGGGTGGAGGAAGCTTAGAGTTTTTCTCACTTAATTCTCACAAGAGTTGAATATTGAACATGATTTGTTTGTCCACTGCCTCCAAAATTCCAATATCATCTCCATGTATGGCAATATTCAAATCCAATGAAGCTGCATTTTCTCTCTTTTCCTCTTCAACATCACCATTACTCTTCTGAATAGTAGTAGGAGGAGAATAGGGTCTTGAAACTGAAGAACTAAAGTACTCGTCACAGCTAAAAATGACTATGGAATCCTTAACAAATACTAATTCACCATCAGGAAGTGTAAAGCTTCCATTTACAATAGCTTTTTTAATACCCTTTTGTGAGAAAGAATCAACTTGATCCACATCTTCCATGAAAAACACACGGCTCGGATTTTCTTGGATTGCATCTGCAAACCTCTCCAGATAACTCTTACCTGTTGAGACATAATATAATTAAATAATTAAAAGTAAAAAAAATATTTCAACATGTTTGGCCCACAAAAAAGAATCAGGTCCACTCGTGAGGGACATGTTGAGACATAAAAAAACAAAGTAATTATAAGTATACTTTTTCTAACAGCTTAAATTTTTATATGAAGTGATCACACAATTCAACAGTACGTACCGTGCTCGTCTCTAGATCTTTTATTACCGACTTCTTCAGTTGAATCATCAGCTTTTAATGTTGATGATGAAAAGCTGCTAAGTCCAATGGAAATGAAGCTATCTTGAGAACCAAAGATAATTTTAGCTAACTCCCTTGAGATTTTCTCTTTTCCTTCAGAATCAGCACCTAAGAAAAACAGCCAAGTTTCTTCCTTTTTGCCTCTACACTGAAGAATTGTGCTTACTATATCAGGGATTATATCTTTTTGCCATGGAACTTTCTTCTCCAATGCCTTGCAAATTATGTTCATATTTTCTGAATTAAACTCTTTGAACCTATTTAAGCAATCCATATTGTATCCACTTGCTTCACTTGAGGAAGCTGAATTTGGACTTGAATTGGGATTGGATAAAAGCTCAGGCTTTGTATCCAAGAATTGGTGTTCTTTCTTTGATTGGTTAGATGAAGATATTGAAGTAGAGGAACAAGGAGATGATAATGAAGATAGAGTACCACAGCCTTTCTCTAGAAAGTTATGATATTGTTTGTGAACACAATTGCAAATAGAGTTCCACTTCTTGCAAAGATTTCTCATTTCTTCAGCTTCCTGCAGCACCAATAAAATTTTTAGCTTAAGTTATATGTTATATATGTTGCACAGACTCTTCAAAATGTTGCCGCACCCATGTCGGATCCTCCAAAAATACACTACTTTTGGAGAATCCGACACGCACCCGACTATACTTTCGGAGAGTTCGAGCAGCATATATATGCACTGTAGACGGTGTAAAAGATATTTATACAATCAGGTCAATATAAGATAATTATGATTTCAAGATTTCATACTTAAACAAGGATTATATTGTTAAGGGAATAATTGGAAACCTGATTGTTGTTGTTATCTTGTCTATTCACTTCCTTGTATTTTTGGAGCCAAGAAGGCAAACTTGAGCTGCTGTAAAATGTAGTAGACTCAGTTTTGACTATATTAATGCTTTTAGCTTCTCTGTTGAAGTTGGCCAAACAATCAGCACAGCAAGTTAGCTGCTTCTTCACTCCATTTCTAACAACTGACCAGCTTGAACCATCTGCGGTTGTCTTGCTTCTAAACTGACTATGCAAATCACTAGAGAAAAGAAACAAGAAAGTGTAAATATAAATTAAAAAGATGATTAGTCAAAGAGAAAACTTGAAGAAAATAAACCAAAAAAGAACAGTTATATTGCTTTTCTTTTTTACTTTTACTTTTTCTTTCTTAAAAAGTAATGCAAAAAGGATTAACCTATATACACTGACGATGTGAAGAATTTTTACACTATCAGTGTATTTTAATATGTTATAGCGAGTAATTTACCTTATTTTCTATTCCGGTTAAATCACAGTACTTTTAGTGAGTGGTTACCTGCAGTTATCTTTTAAGTTACTTGATCATAGTTTAAAAATTCTTTTACACTATCAGTATATGCTCGGAAACAGCCTTTCTGGGCTTCTATGGTAGGAGTAAGGCTGCGTACATCTTACCTTCCCCAGACCCCACTTATGGAATTCACTGGATTTATTATTGTTGTATCAGTATATGAAAGTTTAAGACATGCAAAAATGGCAGTTGCATATTATACATGGTAATAATAAGGGGAAATATTCAGGAAATATATACCTCTCAAGATTAAGGCTAAGATCCAAGGTGACAACAGGAATTGTAAGAGGATGAAGATCCCAAAGAGTCTGTAGAGAAGGACAACCAGTTTTACATTTCATGTAAGTCTGAAAACTGGCAATTCCCATAAGCCACAGCCTTCCATTTTCCTTAATTCCACCACATAATAATCTACTTAGCTCCATTATCATATGTTCCACAGGAGAATAATAGCTAGTACTATTACTTTGCTCACTGTATTTAATCCAAAATTCAGATATCCATTTTAAATCACCTAAATATAACACAACCCCTTTATTTACATAGCTTCTAAGTAAAGTCCTAAGCTCTCCAATCTTGACCTCAAACTCTTCTCTTGAAACATTTCTCAGTGTAAAAAGTGGAACACTTATAAACTGCACATGTTTCATATCTAATGATATTTCTCCTTTATTAAACTTATCTACAACTCCTTTAATAACCCCTTCAACAGTGGCTAAACACTCTCCTAAAATAACTATATTTTTCCTTTTCTTGTTTATCATTGCTTCTATTACACTCATTACATCATCATTCCTCACTTGATAACCTAATGTTGTTTGAGAAATGTAATTGGTATTTCCTAGGACAATTGGTTTTGTACTAACACCACCATTTTTAGAACAACTATTTAAAGAAATAGTTTGTTCTATATTGGTTTTTAATTGGATACTAGAAAAACCAACTTCCCTCATTACTCTACTAACACTTGGATCATCAAGAATTGAAATAACAAGCTGTTCTATTTCTACTTTAAGGGCTAAAATAGGCTGTTGCTGCTGCTGGTTTTCTGTTGAGCCGCGACGTTGATACGCTTGTGCCCTTTTAAAAGCAGCAACTAAGGCATTAGAAAGACAAGGATTTTGAGCATGAGGCTCAAAAACAGGACTAGAAACTGAGGTGGGTAACCTATTGAGTGCTACATTGAAACAAAGTTCAAGAGCTTTGTATTGAAGTGGATGAGAATGTAATTGAAGACAAGCTTTTTTCAAAAGGCCTGAAGAGGAAACTAACATAACACTAGCTATATGAAGAGGAGTGACATGGGAATGGCCTCTTCTTTTAGCTAAGTTTAAAGCTTGTTTTACTATGGTTGTAGATTCAGTAGTTAGTGCCTGTTGGAACGTATAATTACCACCAATTCTCATTTTTCGCTCTCTTTATTTTTTTTTGTAAGATCAAAGATGGAGAAGTATATTTTTTGAATTCTTGAATTTCATTAGGTTGTGAGAAGATTAGTGGGAATTGTTGGTAAGTGTTGAAGTAAGGGGAATTAATAGAGGTTTTAAAGAGGGGGTTTTGTCCCTTTCTTGTGGTTGTTGGTTATGTATGGAAAAAGTGGAAAGCATGTGAGGCAAAGCTAAATTGTCTCTCTTATTGTCTTTTTGGCTTTTCTAAGGGATAAAGGTGGATTGGATTACAAGAAGTTGGACTGCCTAATCTTTTATAGAAAGTAATACTCCATGTATGATAATATTCAAGTAATTTGTAGTTAATATAGCTCACTAAAACCTTTGTGAATTGAGTTTATGTGTTTCCTGCAGTGGAACATTAAATTCAGGGGTGGAAGCAAGATTCTTTTACTATGGAATTCAAAAAATAAAAATAATAAACACTTGAAGAAGCTAAGGGAGTTTAATATTTAATATATATACACGAAAAAAAAAAAAACTTAACCTTAGACATATAGTGTAATTTTCGGCGAAGGGGGTTCGACTGAACCCCTTTATGGGAGAATTTTAAAAATAGCTAGATTTACAAGTGGTCATTCAAAAATAGCCACAGTTTCAAAAGTAATCGAAATTTAGCCACTTTCATGTAAAGATAAATCTGAACGAAAACACTATTCAAAATCTGGAAAAATACTCCAGTATAATATACTGGAATTCCAGCATAAGTATACTGGAACTCCAGTATATTCAGCATAAGTATACTGATCCAGTATAATATATTGGAGATTGGAGCACCGGTGCTCCAATCTCCAGTATATTATGCTCGAACTTTCCGTGTTGCAGCAACATAGTGGCTATTTTTCAATGACTTTGCAAACGCTGGCTATTTTTGTAGCCCGTGCTATTTTTACCCTCTTTATGCTCACCTAGCTCTGCCTCTGATTAAATTGACCCACAACAATATTTTTCGTGTCAAACTTGATACACTTGAAAAATAACGTAATAATTATTATAACCGATTAAATAGTGCTAATATTATAAAAAAAAAATTATTCTATCCGTATATATAACTTAAACTCTTATATGAAAAATCATGTGGCTTTAGCTTTCCCATATTTGTACAAGCCATAGCTAGTGACAAACACAATGGAAAATACTCCCCGTTCCATTTTATTTTATGTGTTATATTATTTTTATTAGTCTATTAAAAAAGAATAGTACATTTTATATTTGCAAACAACTCAACTTAAACTTCTTATTACTTTTGATGGTGTGTTTTTATAATCATACCATTCGTATAGCATATTTAAGATCTTAAGTTTGAAAAGTACTCTCTCCGGTTCACAATAAGTGTCCAATTTACTTTTTCATTTTGGTTCAAAATAAGTGTCCAGATATGTAATCAAGAAAGAATTCAATTTGTTTTTACAAAATAACCCCTATATACATATACCTAAAAAGTTTTCTTACTCCTCACATTAAATGTTTAATTAGGGGTAGTTTAGTCATAGTAGGTATTTTTGTATAGAATTTAGTATTTTATTAATAGGCGTGCTAAAAGCAAATTGGACACTTATTGTGAACCGGATGGATGGAGTATTTTTCTAAAATTTTAAAAATAACTCCCAAACCAATCAAATTAAGCCTCGTGAATTAAAACGACAGGAGTAGTAGATATCTCTACCATAACTTTGGTGAAAAAGAGAAAAGATCAAAGGAAAGAGTTTAAAGGATAGATGAAGACTGTCTGTCTGTTGAAAGAATTGGGAAATGTGTATTTTTTTTCTAGTTCAAGCTTCCTACTAAATTTGTAGTACAATCTGATCTCTAGATTTCTCCTTAAAGACTCAAGAATAAAGAACAAAACTTTCTTTGGATGATTAGTTTAATATTCTCCTAAAGTTGATGTCTTTAGATTTTGTAATGTACTTTAGTTTTATTTTGCAAAGAGTTTTGTCTTCTTTTCTTTTCTTTTTGCTTTTTTCATGTGTGAATTGTGTAAGATTATAATTTAAGAGGTGAAAAAAATAGTAAATTTTGGATTTAATATTGATACGCTGTCAACGTAAACTAATGTACAATACAAGATTATTCATAAGCCAATTACAAGTAACTGGATCTGTAATATAAATTATAAACCTAAAAAGATGAGAAATGACTTGAATAGTGTAATAATTTTTCACATTATCAGTCTATGCAATTTAAATATGCACCTACATGGGTGTGATGTGAGTCATAAAGACATTCTTTTATAGCATAAGAAGTGTAGGTTCGTTCTTGAAAATAAAGTTAGAAGAAACGTGATGTAAAAGATATTTACCCCAGTTCTCCCCATACCAACTTCTTTTGGGTGAAATTCAAAAATAATCAGATTTACAAGTGGAGAATTACAAGAAAATACACATGACTTCACACCATAATAAAAAATGGCCCATGTTTTTAAGTTTTACCTGATCTATCTCATATTGTACATATTTTGAAAGCACTAGCAAATTCAAAATCTGTGTTCTTACAACCATTGCTTCTAAAAGCTATTGAGTTAAATCTGTGTTCTCACAACCATCATTACTTTCACTCTCTCTTCTTCTCACATCTTCTACATATGCTTCAAGGGGCCGTCCGCCATTACTGCTTCTCTCCCTGTGTCACCTGATTGCAATGTAAGAAAATTGAAAAGTAGAAGTCCACAATTGAAGGCTATTCAATGTTGTGCTTTCGAAAATAGAATTTTTTGAGTTTGTTAGTTGTTTGGATTGGGTGTTGTTCCAATTGATTAAAAATATCAAAAGGAGTTCAAAATTTAAATTTGAAGTGATTTGGAGTAGATTTGAGCAAGATTTGAGTTAAATTTTAGAAAAGACGCAAGGAAGAAGACGAAGTCAGTTTTTTGTATAATTATGTATAATCTTGTATAATAGTGTATATGAGTGTATAAACATATCTTATACACTTTTATACACCTTTATACAAGCGTCTGTAGACGAACTTCTTCCACGATTTTCAGTTGCAATTATTTTCAAAACCAGTCCAAATCTCCATTAAATGACTTCAAATTTTATATACAACCTCCTTATATTATTTCTAACAAGCCTAAATAACACCCGCTCCAAATTTTTCACAAAATCAAATTCGGAATTTAAATCACATATTTAAGCTTGTTAAAAATCTAATTTTCACCACCCAAATGGATTTGGTTTGTTGAACTAATAATTGAGTCACAATTACTGATTCGAAAATTAACTTAAAAGCTTGAGCAATCTTTTTTAAAAATTAAATAGTAATTTCGTGAACCTATTGGAGTTGAATGTTATTATTTTTGGGCTAGTTGGTTGTAAATTGAAATATGGGCTATAAAATTAAAAAGTAGGGAGCCTAGTTGTTCTAATGTGAAATTTTTCCAATTGAAAAATAGGCACAGTTTCAAAAGTAACCAAAATTTAGCCAATTTTCATGTAAAGATAAATCTGAACGAAAACACTATTCAAAATCTGAAAACTATTCCAACATAATATATTGGAGTTCCGGTATAATATGCTGGTCCAGCATAGTATGCTGAAAGTTCATACACAAGTGCTTCAATCTCCGGTACATTATGTTGGAACTTTCCGTGTGTTGGAGTTCCAGCATAATATGCTGGAAGTTCATACAGGTGCACCAATCTCCAGTATATTATGCTGGAACTTTCCGTATTGCAGTAAAGTAGTGGCTATTTTTTAATGACTTTGCAAACGCTGGATATTTTTAAATTACCGGTCCGAAAACAGGCTAGCCCATACTATTTAAGAAAGAAAACTGCAAAAAATGAATCTTTACATAAATAGCCGGCTGGAATTATTGTTTATATTTTCTAATCGATATACATAAAATATATACTAATTATATTTGATATATATATATATATATATATATATATATATATATATCAAGTTTAAGCGATTTAATGAGCGGCTATTTTGGTTAATTTATTTTAAGAAAAGAATCTAAGTGCTAGAAGTTAAAATATCATGGTATAGCCAGTTTTCACACTGGTCAATGAAAAATAGCCAGCGTTTATCAAGTCAATGAAAAATAGCCACTATTTTGCTGCAACAGGGACCGGTCCAGTATAATATACGGGAGTTTTGGTGCATTTGTGTACGAACTCCAGCATATTATGCTGGACCGGTATATTTTGCTAACTCCTGTAAAATTTGCGGGAGACTGGAGCACCAGTGCTCCAAACTCCAGTATATTATACTGGACAATTATACTTGCTGGAACTCCCGTAAAATTTGCGGGAGTTCCAGCATAGTTATCCTGGAACTCCCGTAAAATTTACGGGAGTTCAAGCATACTTATGTTGGAACTCCCGTAAAATTTGCGGGCGTATTTTTCCGGATTTTGAACAGTGTTTTCGCTCAGATTTAAAGTGGCTAAATTTCGATGACTTTTGAAACTTGGCTATTTTTCAACGACCAGTGGTAAATCTGACTATTTTTGAATTTCTCCCGTGCTAGAAGTCTCTAAGCCCAGCATTCTACCGGGCTGATCCAATAATGTTTCATTCTCCACTTTCTCATATGTGGATTTTGTTAATTATAGGTCCATATTGTTAAGGCCCAATAGTGCTTCACTTTTGCTAACCAAAAAAAATGAAAAACAATAAATAAATAAATAGAAAGGAATAACTTATATGTATATTATAAACTTATTTACTCCTCCTAGAGAGGTTATCACTTAATTACGATTTCATATACGAGTTACCATTTATATACAAAGTATTGTATTAGACTCCAATCTTTCACATTTTCTCTCCCTCTCCTTCCTCCCCATTCCAGACAGTTTATGGTCGATACTTTTCTACAAGAATTTCAATTTTTCTGTCAAGACCCTAAAACGGATCCGGTCGTGGTGGCGCCTATTGTGAAACTAGGCCAGCCAACACAAACCCCAAACCAACCAGAAATTCATAATAAGTCATTTAAAGTCATTAATTAGCTAAAAATTCCATAATATAAGTCAAAATAGACAATGCGGAAATACAACACAGCCCGACATCGGGGTGTCACCAGTTATGAGCAACTACCAACTAGTCTAGGAATAGGAAAGGGCAACATAGTCTGAAAATAAAAT